GCGCTTATTTTGAATTTGGTAAACCTCATTCTATGAGGAATAATGCCAAATTCAAAATAGCTAATTCGAAATAAGCGCTGTGTAGATGCTTATTTCGAAATAGGGGGCCTCCAGCCTTCCCAGGATGCCCTGGTGGCCACTCTGGGCACAACCAGGAAAACTTCCTCTCCTCTTCCCCAGCCCCGGAGCCTTTAAAGGGGTAGACTTTGGCCATAGTGCCTGTGCCAGCTCCAGGCCTGCCAGCCCAGAGCCAGCAGTTGCTGCACCTGAACCAGTGGCCCCACTATGAGCCAGGCAGCCAGTGCCAGCCAGCCCTCCACTGCTCCCTGGGCCCAGTCCCCCAGCTCCCAGGAGCTTGCAAGGGACCAGAGAATGTGGGTGCCTATCTGGTCTAGTGCGGAGATCGTGGACCTCATTGAGCTTTGGAGTGAGGCCTCCAATGTCCACAGTCTCCGCACTAAATGGAGGAATGTGGCCGTCTACAGGCGGATGGCTGCCAGCCTGGCCACCAAAGGCCACGTGCGTACCCAGGAGCAGGTGCGCATGAAAATAAAGGAGCTGCGGCAGGCCTATGCCAGAGCCACAGGGGGCAGCTCCCAAAGAGGGGCAGACACCTGCTCCTATTTTGACGCCCTGAACCGCATCCTGGGGGGCAGGACGGTCTGTGACACCCCAGGGGTCATCGATCTTGGAGCAGAGGGCCCTGACCAGGGCATGGAGGAGGAGCACCAGGAGCTAAAGGAGCCCAGAGGGAGTGTGCCACGCAGCCAGGACCCCCGAGCTGGCAGACCCTTCACCAGTATCATCGGGGGAGGCAACAACATGTGAGTGCCATCACTGTCCCCTTCTGGGGGGTGGGGAGGGAGACCAGGGACCTCGCGCGTGGGCCTTGCTTACCACAGATCACGCAGCAACCTGTGCACGTGCGAGCATGTGCTGTGCCACCCCTGGGCACATGGCCCCAGCTGGCTGCCACACAGAGGCCTTGGCCTGTTAGCCACACGTGTGTGAAGAGACATGACATGCTCCTGACCCTGGGGTGGGACACAGCAGGGCGCCCTCCCTTCACAAGCCCACTCCCTCCCCCCAACCCACACTATACACAGCACAGGGGCATGGGTGCAGTCTCGGGGCAGCTCCAACTCTTGGGGATAGCTGGACATCCCAACCATAGCCTATGGCACCCTCCAGAACTGGGCGCAAGAAGATCTGGAATTCCGGTGGGAGCAGCTTGCCCAGGGCTGAGCCATCTGCCAACATCTGCAGGCCCTGGTGCAGAGCGTGCTGCCTCCTGCTGCTCCAGCACCTGCTGCCTCCCCAGCTACCGCTCCTCCTCCCACTCCTTCTACTGCGTGTACAGGGCGCATCACCCTGCCCAGGACATGCTCTCGCACCCGAGAGCTCTGCAGGCCCACCCGTGCAGTGGAGGGGTACCGACAGCAGCACCTGGGGGCACTGCGAGCCCTGCACCGCACCCTCCAGAACTGGGCGCAAGAAGATCTGGAATTCCGGTGGGAGCAGCTTGCCCAGGGCTGAGCCATCTGCCAACATCTGCAGGCCCTGGTGCAGAGCGTGCTGCCTCCTGCTGCTCCAGCACCTGCTGCCTCCCCAGCTACCGCTCCTCCTCCCACTCCTTCTA